CCATCCGCCCTGTCTTCCTGTAGGGCATCAAGAACAACTTGTCCCGATCGCTGCTTGTCAGCACCATATCTTTCGTCTTCATCTTCTTCTCCTTCGTCTTCTTGCCATCCTTGTTGTTCTTCTCCTCCTTCTTCTCCTTCACGAGGCCCTTGCCCGGCGTTTTCTTGGATTTCTTTGGCTTCGGCATCTTCTTCACCGGCAACTTCTTCATGGCAATCTGCTGTTTCAGGGTCTTCTTTCGACTGGGCACCGGCGAAGTCTCTTCGGCTTTAAGGAGGATCTTCGAAGGGGTCCGTGGGCAACTCATGCTTTCATCAGCACTCGTGGCGGGCAACTCCAAGGTCTCCATGAAGGAATCGAAGTCGGACTGAACCGTACTGGGCTTCTTCAGGATGCCAGGAGACTTCTTCAGGATGCCAGGAGACTTGATCACGGAGCCGCCCTGCCCCTTCACCTTCTCATCTCCCTTCCCCGCCTTGCTGCTCTGCAGCTCTTTCTGCTCCTCTTCGTAGTCCTCGTGAAGCCTCTGCAGCTCTTCTCGCAGAGTCTGCAGCTTCTGGACCTGCCAATCATAGAGGTTCTTCGTGCACTCCTTGAACCTCACAGGGTCGCGAAGCCGTCTCGCATGGCAGGCCAAAGTCATCGTTTGCTCAGCCAGCTTCTTCGCGATCTCAGAGCTGTCCTTGTCGGGCTGGCTTTGCTGCAAAGATGGATAGGTCATGACGATCTTCTGGTATACCTGCTTGAGCTCTTGGTATTTGAAGAGCAGCATCGGTTGTGCAAGCATCAATTTCTCTATGAAACTTGTCAGCACTGCCAAGTCCGAGCCGACCACCGCCTGCATGCAGGTGGTCGAAGGATTAGGGTTCAGGTCATGCTGAATGCAAGAATCAAAACCAGACATGGATAAACAAATGTCCGATATCGACTGCATGCTCCCTTGCCCTGGCCTGGGTTCGCAGAACGGTCCGGTATGACCGAAAGTTGAACTCGCCCTCCTTCCTCAAAACATCGGCCAGGAGGTCCTCCAAGTGCCCAAGGTCCGTGGGAGGCACTTTCAGCCTCCGAGGTCCGCCTTTGGCGGCCATGTTCCTGACCTAATAACTCCAAGTGATATTAGAAAGTCAAGCTGATGGAGCTGTCTTCTGCATGTTCAATTCTGACCGAGAGGGCTGTGCCATATATGAATCGAAGCCATTTCCTCTCCAGACACCTCTAGGTTCCAAAGCTTTCAGCCAAGCTGAGGCACCATAATCAAATTTCCAAGACATGACACTGCTGACCAAAAACACCGCAGTACCTCTCCATACTGTCTGCAGACAATTGAAAGTCAGGTCTGTCCAGACACTGGCCAAAAACTGTTGTGTCTGTCCAGACATGCAACCTTATATATAAATCACAACACAAAACTGTCTGTCCAGACACAACCCAAAA